ACATTAGTACTTACAGAGTAGGACATGCTATTATACTGTGCTACATCAGTACCTACAGAGTAGGACATGATATTTTACTGTCCTACATCAGTACGTACAGAGTAGGACATGCTATTATACTGTGCTACATCAGTACCTACAGAGTAGGACATGATAGCAGTACTTACATAGAAGGACATGATATTATACTGTTCTACATCAGTACTTTCAGAGTAGGACATGATATTGTTCTGTCCTACATCAGTACTTACAGTGTAGGACATGCTATTATACTGTCCTACATCAGCACTTACAGAGTAGGACATGATATTTTACTGTCCTACATCAGTACTTACAGTGTAGGACATGCTATTATACTGTCCTTCATCAGTACTTACAGAGTATGACATGCTATTATACTGTCCTACATCAGCACTTACAGAGTAGGACATGCTATTAAACTGTCCTACATCAGTACCTACAGAGTACGACATGATAGTATACTTTCCTACATCAGTACTTACAGAGTAGGGCATGATATTATACTGTCCTACATCAGTTCTTACAGAGTAGGACATTATATTATATTGTCCTACATTAGTACTTACAGAGTAGGACATGATATTATACTGACCTACATCAGTACTTACAGAGTAGGACATGCTATTATACTGTCCTTCATCAGTACCTACAGAGTAGGACATGATAGTATACTGTCCTACATCAGTACTTACAGAGTAGGACATGATATTATACTGTCCTACATCAGTACTTACAGAGTAGGACATGCTATTATACTGTCCTACATCAGTACTTACAGAGTAGGACATGCTATCATACTATTCAACACTATATACAACTGTACGGTTACGACGTGTGTCATAACATGTTGATGTGCTATATTATGATACATTTGATAGTAGTACTATGTATTGTTATAATGTGTGTTGTTACCTCTAACTGACTTAGAATATTGTGTCTATCATTGTAATATGATGTACATGTAATTTAGTATAGTACATGCGTATGCAACTGTGTAAGACTACTTTTCATATTGTACATGAATAACAATGTGTATTGCTGCAATTGATTGTAAATACTGTATATATAAAGTCTACTCTCCGATGTGCTGTAAAACACAAGTAATAAAGAATCTGAATCATACAAAAAAGTATGGAACTTCGTTTTTATTGCTATGATAACGAACACAAATGTGGCAGATCGCCGAGCATGCAAGCTAACATCAGGAGCGCCTCCTGGATATTTCGCTAAACGGAATGTCGTATATTAAAGGATCATATAGGTCCAACAATACGTTTCAATGGTCTTAATTTACACTTCGGTATTCTCCCGTGTTTTTTTGAAATTGCTGAAAGAATAGCATGAAACCATGGAATGGAATCATTTTCTCACTTAGACATTCCCACAACATTGATTGGATGCGTTAACGGTTAACTGTATAGGCTCTTAGCTGTGTTTGCGTGGTATATATCTCCTTCGTGAGAGAGCCTACAGCATAACGGGATAACATGGGCGTGCTGTTGAACCACAAACTAATCATCCCGATCCCTAAATTATTTGCTGATTTTAAATCAAGATGAGAAATCTCAAGTTCGATTAACAATATATTTCAAATCCATTCAGCGAGATTCCGTCATTTCTTTACAAGTTTTCCAATATACACAAAAGCTAAACGTGATGATTTAAACATATTTTCTAATGTAATATTTCTCCGGAATACAAATTAAACTTGTCGGGTGAATAATTTGTATAGATATTCACGCAAATCCATTGTAATCTCACATGTCACTTTCTTATATACAGCAATTATAAATACGATTTCAATACTCATTATTATGGCGGTCAAAACTCGTCAAGTCTGTCATGTTTAATATGTAAATCACACACTTTTCTCAGCCGGACCTTTCCGACCCGTCGCCGAGCAATCAATTAGTGCCGACTTCCGTCACATAGAGTCAAGATTGGAGAATATCATATTTCTCCTATACGATGTCACCACATCAGTCATGGTGCTTCAATGTGCCAGTCGTAGATTACAAGATTGATTTTAAATGTCTAAAATCAATCAAAACAGTCTAAAATCGGCATAGTGAAGCCACACCTTTCGTCGAACAAATTTTGTTTGTTTGTTGAACCCTCCAAGGTACAGAAATCCATTAAGTACGACCATGTTATAATGGTAGACTTTTAGGATGGATGTGGGACGGATTAGAAATCCAATCTGTAACTATCACGAGGGACGTGACGATACACTGCTATGACCGGGTAGATGCTGGAGCTCAAGAACTGCAAACAGTATAGAGGGCGCCACTGTTCCTTGCAATTGGGACGGGCGTAATAGGAGGAAGATGAAGAGGCACACGAATACATCCTCCGCTAAAATCTCATCATAGAAGTCGTTGCTTACGAACTCTGGACTTTCCATGTCTCTTCTACTCTAATTGCTTGATGAATTATCCTGATAATTCTTGGCTAGGCAGAACATAAAATAAGCTAATCTTAGACACTGTTATCTAACATAGCTATAAAACGCTGATCGTATTCCTTCTCTTTTTCATGTATGAAGTAAAATATAAAATACTCAAAAAATCAAATATAACTCCATAGAAGACACAGGTACGAAGGTGACATCAATACTAGGGGGTAGAATCAAGTAGCTTTATTAACTATTTATTATTTCTAAACGTTTCTTGAATCTGTCTTCCAATGTCGTTCAAGTTAGCCAAATTCAGACAAAATAGAGGAAGATGTGAACACGTTGATATATGTGAGGACTAAACAAACGTGACCATATCAGTACAAAACTCTGTAGGTGAGTTTGATAACAGACAACAATACCTTTGTTATACATATTTACAATGCATCATACTGTGATAGAGATTATATTTGGGGTCAGGTCTAGTTGTACTTGTATCTAAGGGAATTGTATATCGTTGGCCAAAACAAATGTATTCTAGTGGTAAGACGCCGAGCTCGTGACTGAAGGGTTGCGGGTTCGAGTCACGTCACAGCACTGTGTTGTATCCTGAAGCAAGATGCTTTATTCCGCTTGTTAGTCTACACAGCTGTAAATGAGTACGTGCTTGGGCAGTGCTAGAATTGTTGAATGCTAGCTGTGAGCGCCGAAATGGCAGCACCGGGTGTATGCTCCCCAGGGAGTTGAGAAAGATATTGGCTGGTTACAAAGGCCCTATAACCACGGATAACAATTAGTGAGACGACCTACAAACTAGGTTGTGATAAAGCGGTATATAAGAACCTCGAATTATTATCATATTGTACTCTCGGTTTTGGTGACTCTGTGTATTAATGGTTATAGTGATGTAGTATATTGTTGTTTATGGCGGCTTTTAAATGATTTTGTTTGTGGTGAATTTGTATACTGTTGTTTGTGGTGAATTTGTATACCGTTGTTTGTGGTGAATATGTATACTGTTGTTTGTGGTGAATTTGTATACTGTTGTTTGTGGTGAATTTGAATACTGTTGGTTGCGGTGAAATTGTATACTGTTGTTTGTGGTGAATTTGTATACTGTTGTTTGTGGTGAATTTGTATTCTGTTGTTTGTGGTGAATTTGTATGCTGTTGTTTGTGGTGAATTTGTATGCTGTTGTTTGTGGTGAATTTGCATACTGTTGTTTGTGGTGAATTTGTGTACTGTTGGTTGCGGTGAATTTGGATACTGGTGTTTGTGGTGAATTTGTATACCGTTGTTTGTGGTGAATTTGTATGCTGTTGTTTGTGGTGAATTTGAATACTGTTGGTTGTGGTGAAATTGTATACTGTTGTTTGTGGGGAATTTGGATACCGTTGTTTGTGGTGAATTTGAATACTGTTGGTTGTGGTGAAATTGTATACTGTTGTTTGTGGGGAATTTGTATACTGTTGTTTGTAGTGAATTTGTATACTGTTGTTTGTTGTGAATTTGTATACTGTTGTTTGTAGTGAATTTGTATACTGTTGTTTGCGGTGAATTTGTATACTGTTGTCTGTGGGGAATTTGTATACTGTTGTTTGTGGGGAATTTGGATACCGTTGTTTGTGGTGAATTTGAATACTGTTGGTTGCGGTGAAATTGTATACTGTTGTTTCTGGTGAATTTGTATACTGTTGTCTGTGGGGAATTTGTATACTGTTGTTTGTGGTGAATTTGTATACTGTTGGTTGTGGTGAATTTGTTTACTGTTGTTTGTGATAATATTGTATACTTATGTTTGTGTTGATTTGTTTAATATATTTGTTAAGGTGACTTATGTTGACTTAGTAATCTGTTGTTTCTGATGTTTTTGTTACTGTTGTTTAAGTGACTTTGTATAATGTTGTACTTACAATGCTAACAACAAGAATCCAAATAATAGTCCTTATGCTAGTATTAACTGCATAAACAACATCTACTTGAGGTTTCATACCGATCATACACACGTTAGTATGCTACACTAGCTCCTAACATCATTATCTGTTATGCCGTTTCCAGACGTGTTTACATTGGTCACTCTAAAATGTATATACTGCAAGTGTAGTATTGTATGTTTATCAACTTACGTTAATGGAAAACTATTTATCGTAACGGAATTGAATTTTAGCGTATTATGAAATTTTAAAAGATTAACGATTTAGTGTGTTTGCACTTTATGCGAATACGAAACCATATACGGATAATTTAGTTAAAGCAGTCATAAATAAGCGAAATATTTAAAGTGCAAAAAACGCTTACATAGCATGACCGCTAAAATATGTATGTTAACAGTAATCGGTACAAGATTACACTGTCAATCCTTTCGTTTCTTTGTCTATTATTATTTGATACAACTTTTTTAAAAACAATTATTGACATGATAACGTTTTAAAATAGTTTGTAAAAATTCGAAATAAAATTGCAGTTGATACGTTTTAGTCATTAATAATTTTATCAGTGATTATCTAATGGAATTCATTGAAGTATAATTAAACAATTTGTATGTATAAACAACAACAAATAATATAAGATACTTATGATTTATTCGATAAGCAGGCACTTACATACACTTTTGTCAATAAACTGCAAGGTAATAATATCCTTAGAGATGTATTTTATCATCTAAAAACATTTTTTCTAAACAATATTTGTTTTCAATATTACAGGACAAAACAACCCATTGTTCACAAAGTCATTTCTCGCGAGTAGAGACGACAAAAGGGAAGGTGGGCAGAAAAGGTTAAACACGAGCTGTCAATACAATTCAATAAAGTAATTTACATGTAAAATCAAACGTTGATTATTTCAGGTGTAAATTACAAATGCATATTGACCTTCGATGTCTCAGATATCAAATTAACAAACCTATCTTTCCTGCATATATATTAGTTCTGCAAATTGGAAAATGTTCAAAAAAACTTTGGTTTATCGAACCGTAAACTCGTTTATTTTTTTAATTAAAATGTCGAAGACAATTTCAACATAAAGGGTAAATGGTGCCGTCCTAGTAATAATACGCCTCTAAACTGCTCTTATTGTTTCAACTGACATTTTACCTTAACGAGTTCCCGTAAATGATTTTTGGCTGGTTATTCATACTCGCAGGTGCTTGATTATCTATTTGTGCTCTTTGAAGAATATCATCAAATGATGTTTAATCATGTCCAACGGGACCGCATTGCAGTCGGTGGATCGAGTTCTTTCCTCAGAGACCAGCTGGAGAATTGAGTTCACCCTGAAAGGGACCAACAATTAACATGATTTTTACTTCCATTTTACAAATGATAATATTCACGGCTGGGTGAGCTTTGATGGTAATAGTTATAATATCATGTTGATTAAATTGGCGACGATTCCGTTAACCAGGGCTACAGTACGATGAAGCAAGATCGATTTGAGTATGATGATGACGAGCAGGCGGGCGTGGCTATTTATATATGTTAGCTGTCACTGACAGACTAATAGCAACCCGCAATTGTCATTCGGCGGTCGCTCATGACCACGGGACAACAACAGGCCCATTAACGGGCCTTTTTATTCTATTGTAGGGGCCGGACTATTAGGGGATTATCATCCCATCCTCCTGGGGAGACGAGTAAAGAATCTAACGAGGCTGAAACCGCCCCAATACAGATTCTGAGCTCTTTTACAGTAGTGCACGGAGACAGCGGTAATGTTAAGGCAAATAATACACGTGAATCAATTTAAACTTACAGCTGTTTACATAATCAACACACAACATGCTATAAAATCATTCTGCCGTACACACGACAGGGACGGCAAATAGAATTGATATGTGAATTACAAAATAAATAAATAGTGATTTTTAAAACATGCTGGAAAAAACTTAATTTGAGTTATGGTAATAAATATCGATTTAACTCCAAAAACAGATCAAATAACTTTATCGCAATTATCAAATACGAATAAAATCAATACAGTGCAATATCAAACACGTTTTTGTTTGTTTACTCATTTTAAACTCAGATTGTAATAAGATATAATAACAACATTAAATAAACTGATATGGAACTTTAATTGTTATATGATAATAATTTATAACAAAGTTAGTCGATTAGTCAAAAATAAGAGTATAGACATACAGATTAGGAACACAAAAAGCATTCGGAATGGTATAGGTAAAATAGTCTTTGAACTATCATTTGTATCTGTGATCTTTTGTACCAGGAATATAGAAGCAAGCCTGTTTTTTTGAGAGTAACGTATATATATATATGAAGGCAGCGTTATACAACACATACGTTGAATGGATTTATACTTATAGCAATACAAAACATATTTTCATATTATGCATCAAAGGAACATGATATGTTGTTGTAAAATGAGGTACAGATGAATGCAGAAATTAGTGTTGTAACGTATTGTGTTGTTCGCGAAAATGGAGACAGACGTTGTATTGTTGTAAGGTACATGTAGCTATAGGTATACACGAATGAAGATAATTGTTATATAATTGTAATGGTAGGTACAATGTACATATATATTTATATATGGGGCAAAGAAGTAATTCCAACAGTGTGGACAAGTTTAGGTTGTCAAATTTTCGTATTATATATATAGATGTTGTAATGGTGTAAGGTAGCTATAGGTATACAAGAATGAAGATAATTGTTATATAATTGTAATGGTAGGTATATATAGATGTTTCTAAAGATATTATATTATTGTTATGATAGGTACGCATAGATTTATATATAACTGTTATATTATTGTAATGGTGGGTGTGCATGGATGCATATTTATTTAAGTATTATATTGTTGTTAAGGTAATGAAACCGATGTATATATAACTGTTGGATTATTGTTATGGTCTGTACACAAAGATAAATATAAATGTTATAATATTGTCAAGGAGGGTACACATAGATGTATATGGTACTGATACAGATTTCTTTCCTTTATTTTAAATATCACACGTCACATCTCCATGAAACCTTCTTACTATAGCTACACCCATTAAATATAAAATTGACACCAGTTGTGAAATTGTTCATCTTTAATCCATTAACTTTAAAGACAACGACAGGTTATTAATTTTACCGTGAATAGCTATTAAATGATATCGTATTATTGTGGATTTACGAAATTGCTATTAAAATGACAACAGTTTGAATTATTCAAAGCAGTTTGTTATATAAAAAATCTTTATTAACCTTTTTCATTGTTAATATGAATTAAAAACTGAAATTAAGTGAAAAGAAATATGCTAATTTAAACGTGAGTGTACGAAATCAATCAAATTAAATAGTAACAAAATTCAACTATTGTCTGAACAAATTAACATTAGAGAGGAAATCCCTCATTTAAGAAGTTCTAAATGCAGTATCACCTGATGTATTAGACCAAGCAAAAGAAAGTAAATCAAAATTTCGTCCTGATATTTTCCCATGTTGTTATAACAAACCAGTTGTGTTGGATACTCTAACTTGTTATGGACATTATAGAATGTGAACGGCTCACAAATTTGCAAATCATTGTTGAATTCGTCATTTCATTAAGTGACGTGAAAATAAATCGGAAGCAATTCTTTCCTGTTTTACAGAAAGAAGTCTTCCTCAAACAAACACGTTTTGTTGTGGAAACCATATTTATATATTGTTTCTTTTATAGAATAAATATTTTTAATTGATTTATCAAATTTTCGTATTAAAGTTAATACATGTATGCGATGAGACGCAAATGAAGAGAAGAATATTTATATGACTCCTTCATTTTGAGGGAAAAGTCTGTAGATAGCTATGATCTAATTTTCGGTTTTTTGTGTGTTTTATTTTCAGGTTTTTTAACTTCAAACTAATAAATAAAGTTGATCTTTGTTTAGCTTAATCATATGTTGATTTAGCATACCCCTAAACGTTATATAAACCACTATTTGATTGAGAGAAAACCCTGTGTAGTTGGACATGTTTTGAAATTCTGTCAGTATGATTTCAGTTCATCTTATTCCAAATTCAGACGTCTGTCTAGTTTAAAACTATTTCCTTGCTGTGTCATTGTTTACTTTTCTTTGGATATATTTATTCTTTTATTGTTACTGGTATTGTTTCCACATAACCTCGAGACAAACTTCGACAGAATCATCAAGCTCTGTTCTACTCAGACTTGACCCACTGACCAAGCGAGGCTATACATTAAAGACATTTTTTAAAAAGAAGTTTTCAACAAAAAACATGAAATGAGCAGACCTTTGCTTTTCCAATCTACTCTCCGGACTAATTGTGCGTACATATATGCTTCATTGTTGGCCTCTAAAGCGAGGTTTTATGGTTGTCTGGACAATAACCTTTTGCTCAATGAGATTACCAGAATAAAACCCTCACGCAATGACATGAAATCACTTTATTATCAATAAAACTAGAAATAAAATTCATTTTTTTTCAAATGTAATTTATTTCTAAAACACAAACCATTTAAAGGGGTAACATAAGTGTATTCCTTGTTCTATGGAAATATATTTCAAAGACATTAATGATACGTTTTCGTTTGAAATTGCCAAGGTCAGTGTTCCGATTATAGCAATGTTGATGTTGGAGATTTGTATAGTCAGTATTTAATATTTATTTGAGATATCAATAATGTCTTACATGGAATTTTGTGTGACTATAAAGTGATTTAATCTTGTCATTGTGTCTTGTAAAACGAATGTTAGCTCAAACTATAAAAGTATAAATTACATATTATATTCATTTATCTTCATTTGATACTAAATTCATAGTTCAAATGTAAGTCATAATTTATGTGTTGGCATTTGAACGTCATTTGTAATATTGTTCAGACTTGATACGGCCTTTATAATATAAGAAATTTTAATATAAATAAAATATTTCTGATAAAAATAAAAGTTTTGATATTTCTTCATTGTTGATATATATTATTTTCTTTAAAGTGAATGTGAATTGATTTTTTTCCCAACAGTATCGAAAACCTAAAAAACAATTTAAGTCTAATAACAATTGATATGAGTGAAAGTCCAATGACAACAACTTATATTAACTATATCAACAAAAGGTCAACAACAACTTATTTTAACTATATCAACAAAAGGTCAACGACAATTTATTAGTTTGAACTATTTTTACAGGAAATCGGTCAATAAAATAGAAAAACAAAACACCACAGAGACACAGAAAAACAATATTATGAACACAAAAGAAAAAAGGAAGCGATGAGACACCAAAACAATGATAAGACAACAACCAGCACCGAGGAGACAACAATTAGTACTAAGGAGACATCAAAACAAAATAAACAGAAAAATCAACCATTATACAAAAAATGGCGTCTATTAAGTAAACATGATATAACAAGTTGAGGAAGAGAGAGAGAGAGAGAGAGAGAGAGAGAGAGAGAGAGAGAGAGAGAGAGAGAGAGAGAGAGAGAGAGAGAGAGAGAGAGAGAGAGAGAGAGAGAGAGAGAGAGAGAGAGAGAGAGAGAGAGAGAGAGAGAGAGAGAGAGAGAGAGAGAGAGAGAGAGAGAGAGAGAGAGAGAGAGAGAGAGAGAGAGAGAGAGAGAGAGAGAGAGAGAGAGAGAGAGAGAGAGAGAGAGAGAGAGAGAGAGAGAGAGAGAGAGAGAGAGAGAGAGAGAGAGAGAGAGAGAGAGAGAGAGAGAGAGAGAGAGAGAGAGAGAGAGAGAGAGAGAGAGAGAGAGAGAGAGAGAGAGAGAGAGAGAGAGAGAGAGAGAGAGAGAGAGAGAGAGAGAGAGAGAGAGAGAGAGAGAGAGAGAGAGAGAGAGAGAGAGAGAGAGAGAGAGAGAGAGAGAGAGAGAGAGAGAGAGAGAGAGAGAGAGAGAGAGAGAGAGAGAGAGAGAGAGAGAGAGAGAGAGAGAGAGAGAGAGAGAGAGAGAGAGAGAGAGAGAGAGAGAGAGAGAGAGAGAGAGAGAGAGAGAGAGAGAGAGAGAGAGAGAGAGAGAGAGAGAGAGAGAGAGAGAGAGAGAGAGAGAGAGAGAGAGAGAGAGGAACATTACCAAATCAAAATGTGAAATATTTATGCATATCCATATTTATGTTTAAGTAATTATGCATATCACGTTTTTATATCATTATTAATTTATACGGAATAAACATAATGTTTAAAAAAAAAACAGAATACAAGCACAGATGAAGTTTTGTACTAAGAATTTAATATACGTTTTGGCCCCGATGTTTATCTTTTTTATAAGGCATTAAAGGTAAACCAGACAGCGTGTATTAACTTAACAGATATAAACGCCTGGCTGAAATAAAATAAAAAACCCATTAAAATACAGACTGTACAGAAGAGAGAGAGTGAAAATACTAAAAGTGTATTACAGTAAAGGACAGCACCAAGAACCTTGAACAAAGGGAAAGCAGAAACATTCTTTGAAAGCAACATTGTAGAAGGAACAGAAATTTTAGGAATATATTTTCTTAATCTGTTTACTTTTTTTCATATGTGTACAAAGTATGATCAAATTACATGTTCCGTTTAATAAAAAAAAATAACCCAGGAAATATGAATCAAGAAATTCATACTAAAAAATGACACGCTGTGATTGGAATTTGTATTACCATTTGATTATTTTCAAGGTTCTTTTTCCGTATATGAATATTTCCGTTAATCCAGATTGTTCGGAGTTCACTGTCACTGAATAGTTTCCGGTCACTGATGACGTCACTGGAAGACGTGTGAAACCATCGGGTCTATCATACACATACACAAGTAACACTTTCACATCTGTCCTCTGTCCAGATAAATCACCATTTGAATTATTCTTATTACTTTCGAGTTGTTGCATTTTCTTCTTAAGTTGTGTTCCTTTCCTTTTCCGTCGGACTTGATCCCTCTCCATTCCCAGATAAAGTGACGGCGTTAGCGACTTTTCATCCGTTTTATGAATCGTAATCTACGATAGCTGAATCTGAAATATAAATATAGACAATCAACAGTTTTATCACAGAAATAATATTGACAATGATTAAAGTATCGCCTGTAAGAGTCAAGTTCATTCATACACTCTCCGACTGGCGATGAGGATTTTATGGTTCGGGGGTGTAGACACAGCTTACGCGACAAACGACGTAGGTAAAGCACTTTGTGTACAGTAGAGTAAATATCTGCAGCTATGTACATGGGCTCTCTTCATTTGTGTTTACCAAATTTCAACAGCTTGTAAGGCAAATATAACATTAATTTATCACATCGATTTATTTACAAGTTTACATTTGAAAGATAAATGTAACAATGTCGTATTACTAGAAGGTTAAGGACTGTTTCTATATGACAACCTCACTACAGAGATCTAGATAGGAATGTAGCGTTGCTTCAACGTAATCCTAGTCAATGAGAACTGTAGCAATAGAGAATAAGCTATTTCATGTATACGAATATGTAAGACAATAGTATTTCTAAGAATCGCCTGAAAATACATACTCATTGCAGCAATGTTTAAATCCATGGTATGAATTTCAAATGACAACAATCCCTTTAGTATGCTATTGTCATCAACAAACAAACAGTTTGTATAAACATTTCTGCATTTTTTAATAATAAACATTCTACGACTAAAAATAACATAATTAAATTGACAGTTTATGTGTACTTCAAAACTTATACACAAAACATCCTTTGTTTTCTTAACAAATCACACTGTTGCATTCAAAATCAACCATATGTACTACAGCCAGAAAGAAAATATAATAACTGCTCGAATTTCGTTCGCGAAGCCTATTTCAGCAGTTAAACGTTAACGCGCTTATATTTCATTTCGTGTGATGCAATCTAACAATTAAATGTTAACGTTACACTGTCTTCGTGAAACGCAGTCTAACCATTTAATGGTATTGTGTTTCCATAAACCTTCGTGTAACGGAGTCTAACAATAAATGTTAACGTGTTTCTATATACCTTACTGGCACTCCGTCTAACCACGAATGTTAACATGTCTATGTACTTAAATTAACTCAGTCTAAGCATTGAATGTATACGTGTTTCAATATGCCTTCATATAACGCGTTCTAACCATTAACTGTTCACGTGTTTTTACGCTTTAGTTAACTCAGTCTAGTCATTAACTGTTAACGTGTTTTTACGCTTTAGTTAACTCAGTCTAATCATTGAATGTATACGTGTTTCAATATGCCTTCGTATAACGCGATCTAACAATTAAATGTTAACGTGTTTTTACACTTTAGTCTAACCATAAACTGTTTACGTGTTTGGAGTAGCTTCAAAGATATTTAACATTAACAGTACTGCATGTTTTTTAAACCAAGTTTTTATTTTATTTACCTAAAGAACTGATTTATATTTATATATATATCGAATATTGAATCACAATTTATACTGGAAAATAATAATACATATTAATGCTGGCGAAGTTAATTTTGAGGCGATTATTTATAAAAAATATTGCAACGGGCGTAATTATAAGAGAAACCAATTTCTTTATTGACGTTTCGACCAGAAATTGCATGTTTAGAGTTTTGTGATCAGAACATTGCATGCTTTTGTCCATTTCATTATCACATAACAGTATAAACACTATCAGAGCGAGCATATCATCTTGTTTGAAACATCGTCCTTTCCGGGAAGAAACAGACGCGATACTTTTGGTTAGCATAATTTCAAAACGCTTAATCCGGAAACAATATACTGGTTGATGTATTTTTGGTTTGTAATTTAATTTCTAGGATATTAATTCAATTGGCCCTGCTTATTCTTTTAAGTTCTAATTTTCAGTTATGTATTTTTGAAAGCTAGTTTGGCTGGTCATATCGGCTTACTTTGTATCAAGCTGACAGATAATCTGTCACTTAGACCATAATCACCTCTGAGTTGGCGTTATATCAGACGAAACCCTAATCATCTAATCATACTAGGATCGTCACACTACCAGACAATAATCATCTAACGTCATCTGATGGAATTAAAGTGACCTGGCGGTCGACCCTCCGATAGAGGCGCCCCCTAGGTACGAATCATGTTATAGACTGGCTCTAATGAGCTCGGTTAACATGTTGTCCTGCACGCGCTAGACAGTCATTGTATAAATTAGCTTCGTCATTATAGGGTGTGATCGTCGACAATTAGATATATTTAGTTAGACTTTTTTTCCTTTCGAAAGCGACATACATTTTAAATGTTAGACTTAGATATAGTACATGAAATACTATGGTCCATGAAATTATTTAATTTCATGTTAAAAATATAATATTATGCATAGATGATAAATTATGTAAAATAAAACATTACAATATATAAAATTTACCTATGTAGCTATTGGTCATTTGTATGTGATAACCGAGTATAAAATAAACTTTCATTACGATTATATAATCATTATATAACAATTCATATTTAAATGCATTTTCTAGATTATCAAATGATGAAATTTGTTTTAAATATTTTATGCAACCTGTGTTTTACTCGCTCGTTGCATAAATATAATAACTAACATCGTAGCATTAATCCGATTGTATAATGAAAGTAATAGAATGTTAATGTATCGCACAAAAATATGGAATGTCATTTAATTCGATATGTTGAAAATAACAAGTGTTATATGTTTATTTCATTGTGAGAATAACAAATTTATCTAAAAAATAAATAGATTTAGAATCAGTCCATCAAATTTATATTTAAAACATGAAAGGTCTGTTGGTTATGTAATTTCGTTTGATGTCACCTGTTCACGTCCTGTTTGTCCTTGTGGTCATCGTGTGGCCAGCTTTGTTTGACGCTATTAACCAATCCATGTACTGCCGTAAGTAAGAGATGCTTGTTTAAACATCAGTAGAAGAATTTGGTACATATAGCCTAATTAGGATGTGTTGACACAAGCTGATGTGAGCTTAATTGGTATGGCGAAAGGAAATGGTGTTAGAGGGCTGAGAAAGGCAACAGGCATTCATCCGAAATTTACTTCTAGAAGTTAACAAACATCGGTCATTCCTAAGCAAACATCAGCTAATACGGACAAACAAACAAAGCAATGAGACTCGCCAAAAACGGGAAATAGACATGAATGTGTGTTTAGGTACATTTAGACGCATATGAATATTGTGACTATTTTCTCACCAGAACAGTTGAGACCTCACGAAGCCTTCAAAGATCGACCAACGTTATGTAGACAATAGGGTATGGTACCCCCAGTATACAGCTGAAACGAAGGCTTTTCATGGCCGGTATCAGAAGCATTCGCCTTCAATCGCCCTCTACTGAGTAAACACTCGTTAGCAATGGCATCGGACATACTAAAGATCGTGATGTAATCAGTATACCCCACTCACAGAAACATAGCTTCTGGCAAAGTCTAATTCTACCTATAGGAAATACAATGTGTGTAGTTGGAGGGAGCAAATATACATAGTTTCTACTTAGAACAAAAGTGAAAAAACTGAAACATATTTTAATGTTGAAATAAGGAATAAGATTCATCAGTCATTTGCACTCTTTGCCCGACAAAGGAAACACGTTTTTGAAATAAAATTACTGTTTCTGTTCAAAACAAACTTGGCATTCATTAAATGTTGAAACTACTTCAAAATAGTTTTATTCGTAAAAAGTTTAACTTGCACTTGTTCGTTGTTTGTGTTTAATAAATGATGTTATAATAACATTATGTCATATGTATATTGGTTTATCAGAATAACATAAATATCAAAATCATTAAGTTGTTGCAAATTTTACAAAAAAATATATTTTTCAAATCAATCTTTCAACTAGATTAAATAGATATAGATAAGCTAAGCATAATTCTTTCATGACCATCTAATTACAAAATGTACTTTGTGCTCTTGTACTTTTTGTAATGTAATTTTTTTAATGTCAACTGTTCAGCAGGAAACCCAAACGAATCATTCAAGATAATTTAGTCATTAAATACATGTAATGCTGTCGGATGTTAAGTAACAGACACCAATTTCAACCTCAACGTTTTTTTAACATGATCTTCTGGCGATGTTAAAGCAAAAATTTACTTCTATGTTGATTTTCTACGTATGAGATATATCTCTTTTCTGAAATATATATTTTTTTATCTGAAGATCACATAAATATGTCTTCGTGACTTGACTGAATAATGATTTGTTAAATCGACGAGACTTGGTGTTCATGTGGATTTTCAGTAATATCAAAAATGGATATTTAGTTGTGTTGGTACACTTTTATGATAACGCAGAACAACAACGATATTTAAATTGATGTTTTACGTTCTGAAGTGAAACATCTCTAAACATGCAAACCGTGAACTCTTCAGTGAAATATTTTAGTTAATTTCTTTTAAGGGCTCACGATAATTTTTGGTCTGACTGTGCCCTCTTTCAATACAAAGTAACTTTTAATCAATTCATCAAAATGCCTTAGACTAAGATAACAAGTCTTATATTTAACAGTTTAAAATCATTATTTTAAAATTGTCTAATATGACAGGTTTGACTGTGAGGCGGTATTTCTATTGTCTAGGACACTGCAAAATATAACATTATTTAGGTCTCGCTTTTCCGAATTTAGGATTTACCAAGGATATTATAATGTCTGTGTTGTTCGCTCTAAAAAAAATAAATGTAAAGCGCACACACGTGACTGCACTTTTTTAAAATTTGGTACTAGATACAGCATGCCAAAAATGAATTTACACTGAGATGGGAATGAGCATTGTGAAATATTTACTAACTGATTTCTAAATATTTGAGTTTTTAGCAGTAGCTATTTTTTTCGTATTTTCTTAGTGAAGTTTTTTAAGAATGAAACAGTTCTTACTATATTTCAATTTGTGGCGCAGACCCGTACATCTCCTAAACAAAAATCCAGACTAAAATATATCGGCAGATCAAAGGTGAAGTATCTACACCTGGCAGAGATGTGATGACGTCAGCACTATAAAACAACATACTGTACATAGGTAATACCAGGTAAAAAGGGAAAGTGCGCTCAGTGGGTACGTTTGATGCGGATATAATCAATCTTGTCGCTATGTAGTGTTGCAGACATTTTGAGTAGTATTTGGGAAAGTTTAAACTGTAGGATTAGAGCGGGTCAGTATATGTCTATCAACGACTGCAAACACATATCTCAGATAAATGGCACGTGCGTTTGATAACGATATTGATAGCATGCATGACACACCTGCACGGATGCACAATCTTTACTTCAATAATTCAA